TTTTCTCTCCACTGGGTTGCTCACAACTTTTCTAATATTTGCATATTCATATCAGCTGCATCTCATGTCTTCTATCAATTCTTGGATAAGATAACATCCTTAAAGTTTTGAAAAATCAAAATCATTTTATTCCAATTAGAAATTTGACATTTTGAATTTCTTATCACAGTTCTAATTAAATTACGTTACAACATATTTTAAGTGTTTATTTACTATTTTTTTTATTATTGAATAAGGTCAATAAACTCAAGTAAACAAATTAATGAGATTATTTAAATTAGTGGTTATATTATTATATATAGCCTTTAGAGTGACTTTAGCTTATTTTTGTCCCATTAGTTATTTTGACATCTAAGAAACAATTAAATATATAGGTTGTTTTAAAATGTCTTTTTAGTTTGTAGTGAATAACTTAAATAATACATTATTTTTACAAAATTTATCAATTATTTATTTTAAATTTCCAAAATACTAGTAATACTAACTAATCCCAAGATTTAATGTATTAAATGTTATAATGAATAATACTGCTTACCGGTTTTATATCATATATAAATATAAAAACTAAAAGTCCCTTAAATTAATGTTCAAATATAATGAATATAACATTACTTGACTGAACTTTATTGTCACGTTTTAGCTTAAATTTAAAAATATTAATTTTTAAATTATATTTATAAATCAAAATATAAGAAACGTACACTACTAGAATTTTTATATTGAATTTATATACTCTCTATTAACTTGTAGCACTTTGTCGCAGTGAACGTGAAAGACTTTGCAACTAAGAATTGAAGAAAAATTGCATCCCGCTCCACCCGTTAATAAAAAGACTTAATATACTGCCAATTCGGTCAACGAGGGGTGAGCTCTCTCCTTGTCTCTTTTCCCCATTTCTCGATCAATCTCCTTCTTGGCCCATTCATAAGATAAATATTAAACATTTGAAATATACAAAATATAAGATTTAAAGGTATCATTCTTAGATTTAAAGATACTAATAAAATCTTTTATTTATTATTTATTAGTATCTTTTATTGACTAATGTCTAATTAGTCACGTACTCTTAAATAATAAATAATTAAGAGTTAAGTTTTAAACTAGTTAAGTGCAGTATTCACAAAAGATACTTTTATTTGATAGGAGTAGTGATTTGAAGGAATTAATACTTTCATAACTCTATGACGAATAATGACAGACAAAAAGAAGAATTGAAAAGGTGAAACCTTGCTAATAATTAATTTTATCAAAAAAGTCCACTGAGTACAAGTTTCTCTCTCAACCATATACAATAGTTTGAACATGATACCTTTAAATCTTATACATTATCTTTTTTATTCTTATTTATTTTTGCTTCTTTCAATCAATATTATACCTTGGTCCAGATGAAGCATATTTGGACTATCAAGCAAGGGTTCCGAGTTTTGCTAAGAAGAAAAGTTTGAGGGCCCCCAAGGAGAAATGGGAACACTGATATCAGAAGTTTCAAGGAAGTTTACTCATCATTAGAGTAGGGACTATACATTGAAGAAAATACAAAAATTGAAGTAGTAACATTTGAGTTGCATAGAGTTGACGAAGTAAAAGCTGGTTTGGAAACTAAGAAGAACTGCTTAAGATAAGCTATGGCCTTGGAAAATAAGCTGCACCAAAAGTTAACCATGATAAAGAAAATGAAAGAGGATTTAGGAGAGCAACTCAGTGCTATTAAAGTTAATATCTCTTTTATTGAAGCTAGCATCTCTTCCATTTAAGTTAACTTCTCTTCCATTAAAGTTAATATCTTTGCTCCTCAACCAAAAAGGAAAATCAATTGTTAGAGAAAAAACAATAAGAAATAAACTTAAAACTCAGAGATCAGTTAAGAGGTAAAGCACCTCAATTGCAACAGCCACAGGAACATAATTTGGCAAAGGAAAAACATAAATGTACCAAAGTTGAAAGTCAAACTCGGAGAAAACCTTAAGAATGTTGCAGACTAACAGTGTGTTTGTTTTATTGTTAAAAAGTCGCAAACAGCCGTTGAACGTGAAAGATCCAAATTGAAGATCCAAATTGTTTCTTTGTATTTTGATGCTCTGGAATGTGTATTTTTACGTTTTCGTTAAAAAAACGATTTTCCAAGGTAGAGCTATTAAAATTGAACTTCTATGCACCTAACATTAGGTGTCAATTTTAATATATATTTGCCTTAATTTATACTATATATAAAAAATATATTCCCTTTTCATGTACTTAATTTTTGGAGAATTTTATTTTTATAATTTTTAAATTATTATTTATATTTCTCTATCATTTTTATTTATTTATTTATTTTCTCTTTCCTGCTTTCCTTAAATCTCACAATTTTTAACTAACCAGTGATGCCATTATCTTCTTCTTCTTCTTTTTTTTTTTTTTAAAAAAAAGTTATGAATTGCTTATTTTCTCTCCCAATTATTATAACGTGAATTAACCATGCGTAGAAATTAAAATTTTATTTGAATTCACCAATTGTGAATACACACGTAACCATGGTTTTTTTTTTTTCTTCTTTCGAAACCCCCTGATGAATCCCCCTCTTTTAGGTATCCTTACCCTGCCTTTGGCCTTGTCAAGAATTGGACATGAGTAGGAAGCAATGGGTGGATGTGTGAAATTGGTGGTGAGGTTGATGAGGTTTAATCATTGATGTAAAGGAAATAGTTTTATTAAAACAATACATTTCTTGATTTGATAAGAAAGCTTTAACTCTTCAAGTATATTAGGATAAATTAATCCTTTAGTACCAATTTTATAACCAAGTAAAAGATGCATTTCCTGGTCTTGTGCTCCAATTTCTATGTATAGCAGTAGTGGAAGCAAAACACATGTATCCAAATGTTTTTAAGTTCAGAATTTTAGGTTGTTGTTTGTGTAAGATCTCATACGGCGACTTTTGTTTTAGATAGGTTGAAGGTTAATGTTTGTTAAGGTCACTCGAAACCCGGAATTTGAAAGATACTCGAAAGCTATATCTATGAAACTACTCGGAAAGAAGATAAAAGTCGAACATTTACCAGGATCATAACAGGAGCCTTATTTGTTCACGTGCGAGATGGGTCAAAAAACATTAATCAAATCAAACAAGAGAAGTGCTCGAAAATAGAAGATATGGAGGTTACTGAAGGATTTAAAGCAGTTTGGGTAGTTATCTTAAAGTAGTTAATGAAACACGGATCGAAGAAGTAAAAAACACGTGGGCTAAACGGTTATGAGAGGTTTTATTTGAACCCACGAAATGGGCTTAGTGGACAATGGTTATGTGCCCATAATACGTGTACACGGAAGTAACTGCTCTCGAGGATTTCTATAAATAGGAAAGGCATACTCCTTAACGAAGGTCGGAAAATTTCATACTTGAATTGAACTCTCAAGCACTCTCTGCCTGCACACATGACTTCCGTGCGAAGAATTATCTTTGGGTATGATCACTTCTCGACCACATTTCTTTTCTTGTTTTAGGAGTAGTTGTAGTATAGACTTCTTCCTTTCTTTCTCCTAATCACATAGTTGTAGTGCGTTAATTGTAACTCTTGGACAGTATGTAATTTGAACCATGATTTGTATTGCGAATATATCCATTGTTCATTCTGTTCATTTTAGCATTTACGTGCATGCAAATTATTACTTGTTAATCATCGAGGAACATCTAGAAACAAGTAATCACTAATCTTCTATTCCTCCTTCTCTCGTCCTGTAATATTCAAACCATAAAATACCTAAATTGAAATATTTGTCATGCTAGTCCGGATATAAAGAATCCTTAATTTCCATAGGAAACAATGGTATGTTAATATGGTAATTAATTGTATGCACTACGGCAATATATGTCGATTTTTCTCTTTACCACCCCAATTTACTGGGGTGTCTCTATGCGAGAATATTTGGTGTATATTATGGCCTTTGAGTTGAAGAAATCGGTCATGTTAAACTCTTTTCCATTATCAATCCTAATATATTTAATCAAACTGAGCTATAAAAAACATGCTGTAATGAAAGTGAAACTAAGGTTATGTTTGGAAAAGGGGAAATAGAAAAGAGTGAAAAAGACAAGAGAAATGTGTAAAAATTAAAAAAAAAAAAAGAATTGTTTGATAAAAGAGAATCGAGGGGAACTGTGTGGATGTTTTTGTGAAACGCACACAAAAAAAAACTTCCTTCTAAAATGAGAAGTGTGGAGAAATTGGTTAAACAAAAAAACATAGTAAAAAAGTTAAATAATAATAATAATAATAATAAATAATGAATATAATTTTTATTTATTATATATATATATATGTATAATAAAGTAAAAATAATAACAATAAATAAATATA